ATGGCAGCGATGCCCGGCTCACAAGTGCATCAATGCTTAGTCTCTGGCATGCACAGCAAATCCCCAGTCCTGGCTGCAATCCAAAGTGCCGGTCCAATAAAGCTCCATGGGAAACCACTCCCACGCATCTCTACGAGTGTGTGTGTGTCCGCTTCTTTTAGAGGGGCCAAAATCCTATAGTTCGATAAACCATTTGTTTCAATGAGGATAACATGGTAATAAAAATCGAGTTTCGCTTTCGGTTTGTTTTCTTTGCTTTTGCCCACATTGTTTTCCTTCTAGTGATTGAAAAGGGATTAAGGCCGGGGATTTGATACGTATATTGTCTTTTTTAGTGATATCGCACACACACACACACACACACATAGACACTAATAGCTTGATTGTCGCTTGAACTTGACAAACAGTTCGTCCGGTCAATGTTTGTCAAATTTAACCTTTAATTGCAGTATTATTTAATTTATAGCCAGTTTTCCAGCGTGACAGTATGTGTGTGTGAGTGTATGCATTAATTGCATTCAATAATCGAATGTGGTGGAAACTATTATTAGAATGGAAGAGTTGGGGTTCTGTGGCGTGAACGTGGGAAGGAGATTTGTAAATATGTTGCAGGGTGTAAAATTAAATGGCGTTGAAGATGAACGCAAATAGAAATAAAAAAAAAAAAACAAGGTAAAGGCTAGATTCGGGCGGATGGGATGCCTATAGTTACACTATAATTTCGGCAAAGTTTCTGCAGATCTGAGTCCTTATGGTCTGGAATAAAAGTAACCTTTAAAGTATTAGGATGCAGCCTTCAAGATGTTTGGATACTCTGGCCCCATCCCCAACTCGATGCAAAATTTCTGGAGGATCGGGCTATAATTGCAGCATGTATATTTTTGCAGGGCGGAAAAAAATAACAAAAAATATCGGAAAATGTAATGTAAATTATTGGCATGTTTTTATACCCTACAACACTATGTGTTGGGGTATTATAAATTTGATTGGGCCAGAATTTATGTAACACCTCGAAATATTGGTTTCCCATATAGGAAAGTATATATGGATCTTCCTATCTCGCCGAGCTGAGTCGATCTAGCTATGTATGTCCGTCCATCCGTCCGTCTGTCCGTCTGCCCATGTTAATTTGTAATCACTCTACAGGTCGCAATTTTGGCCCGATCCTAACGAAATTTCGCACGAAGGTGGGGTTTGGGTCAGAATAGAAGCCTATTTCTTTTGGAGATGATCGCAAATGTTTAGGGGTTGAAATGGACCAAATACTGAAAAAATGTCGGATTTTGCAGTAGCTATACAGGTCGCAATTATAGACCAATCGACGCGGAATTTCACATGTAGCTAGAGTTTAGGGCGGGGAAGAAGCCTACCAATTTGGGTGGTCATCGGATAATATTTAGCGGGTAAAATAGACCATATCTCATTAATTCAGAATGGTGTCTTGGCAGGAAAGAAAAAACGTCTAAAAAAATCGCATAAAAATATCTCTCTAAAGATGAAAATATTGATTTTGTAAAATTTTCTCATATTTTTTCTATTTTTGTCATATTTTTGGCATATTTTCATTTTGAATTAAACATTTGGTAATATTTCTACAGCTAACAAAACTAAGTAGTTAGGATATCAGGATATCATATACAGATCGCATTTGTGGCCCGATCTTTACGAAATTTTGCATGGGGATAAGATGAGGGTCAGAATAGAAGCCTACTCTTTTTGGAGATGATCGCCATATATTTAGGAATTGAAATGGACCAAAAAAACGGCAAAATTATCGGCAGGTCGTAATTATCGCTCGATCCTCACGCACATTTGAATGGGGGTTACCGCACATTGCAAAAGCCAAGCAGTTTTGGATGGCCATCCAAAAATATTCAATGTGTGAAATAGTTTGCCAACTTTTGTAGATAAACGAAAATGTCCATTCCAGTGATAGTGTTGTAGGGTATTCAACGGTCTGCCCTGATCGACTGTAGCCTTTGCTTACTTGTTTTATATTCGGCTGGAAAACCACAAGTGGCTACCGTTAGAGCACTCCAGCATTTAAATGTGAATAAATATTTTGTTCCTCGTAACATCGCTCGTTACCGTGATACTAGTATCGTAGCCCGAGGTCAACAAAGTGGACGGAAGAAAATAGCAACATCAGCAGAAATGGTTCGAAAAGTAAAGAAACGACTTGATCGAAACCCGCGTCGCAGTGGCCGAAAAATGGCTCGCGAGCTGAACATATCGCAATATTCCATTCGGCAAATATAGAAAAATGAGAACTTTCACCGCAACAGAAAGAAAATAGACTCAAAAGAGCTAAAGACTTGATTCGCTTGGCCGAAAGTGGTGAACTGCCGAATTTAGTTTCCTCCGCTGAGAAAACATTCGTTGTCCAGCAGTTTGTAAACAAACAAAATGATCGTGTTAACTAGTCGAAGAGGTCAGCTGAAAATGTGCACCTTCGGTTGGTTAACAGAACTCAAGCGCCGGCCATGGAGATGGTGTGGGCCACCATAATAGCCGATGGTCAGTATTAATCGTCCGTGGCATCAGAATATATGACGAATAAAATCGCGAAAATATTCTGGAGGGTGTGTTAAAGCCTTGCGCACACCAATATTTTGGCCACAGATCTTAGACATTCCAACAGGATGCAGCACCATTGCATTCAGCACACGCCACCCAAGAATGGTTACAAAATGAGGTTCCTCGCTTCATTTCCAGCGCACAATGGCCATCAAAATCTCCGGATATCAATCCGTTGGACTATTGTGTCTGGGGTATTTTGGGAAACAAGTTTGGCACTAAAAAAAAATACCAAAGTGTTGATCACCTCAACCAAGCGCTTCGCCGGAAATGGGCCAAAATACCGCAGAGCAACATTCGGGCAGCGTGTGACGGTTTCATTGGCGATTTGAAGGCCATAATGCCAAACCTTACAAATTCGAACAAATCTAAACATTTTCTAAAATTTGATGCTATTTCCGACATTCAATAACATTTGAAAAAAATTTGAAAATTATGGCGTCTGACTTTGTTGCAGTTTTTTTATCTCTTCCTTTATATTACATCTTCACACCAGACCTCGGGTTAAAATATTTCGAAGTGTGTAATTTGAAGACAATTCGTCTTTTACGTTACATTTCATAAGAGCTATAATTATTAAAAATGTTTAACCTTTGTGGGTGAGGTACTTGACGGAGTGGGCCGATATTGTCCATTTTCGCACCAGATGTTGCACTGATGCAAATATTAGGATTTGCAAAGTTGGAGCAAAATATTTTTTTGTTGAAAATTTTGACCTTTTGTGGGAGCGGTACCAGAAGGGTTTGGCCGATATTGCCCATCTACGGACTCGATCTAAGTTTTATAATAATATTAAAATGTTCCAAGTTTAGATCAAACCAGATACTCACTTCGAGAGCTATCGTAAGCATCAGCCGGACAGAATGACGGACGGACGGACATAGACAGATCGACTACAAATGTTCTGAAACGGATTTGGTCCAAAGAGACCTAGGGTCTAAAATCTTTATTTCAATTAGGCACATTTTGGCCGCATTAAATGATATATACCCCCTGTAGACATATGGCTGAGGGTGTAATAAATTTTCCCAAAAGAAAGGGTATAATATTCAGCATAGCCGAACATAAAATTGTTTTTGCATGCTTTTTTACCTTCGGTAAAGATGTTTCATAATCCCTAATGGCCTATTTTTTTTAGCCCAACAGCGGGAATGCTGTCATTTTGAACTTTAGGAGCCTTTTTAAAATATCACGTGTCCATTTTTAAGTAACTTAAATGTAGTTTTTAAACCAAGCGTTAATTTTTTCCAAACCAAGTTTCGAAATTTGCAATATTTGTTGTTACCACAAAAAAACACACGCACACACACACGAGAATTCCAACAGTTTATTGACTTCGATCCCAAGTGTGGACAACGGAAACGAATTCTGCACAGTTTCAAATTTCCAATAAATCTTGGGTGGCATTTTTCCACCTCACTTCGGTGGAAGTTATCTTCCGTAGTGGAAAAATGACCCATGCTGGAGCTGAAAAACAAAAGGATACAGATATGAAAACATTTGACACTTTTCACGAGCATGGAGAAAATGAAGATACAACGGACACTGGACCATTGTCCTCTCGACACCAATTAATTAAATTTTAAAATATTTGTCTTCACCGCTAAGTGGGAAATTTGAAGCTTAACATAAAAATTATATTGGGGGCAATGACTTTGGAGATGCTATTTTTTTTCTTTTCATTTTTGCAGGGAACAAGGCAGCAAGAGGAATATGAGAGGGAAATTATGTGTATACATGTGTGTGTGTGTATGGGGTCCAGTGAAAATTTAAAAATAAAAATGTAGGAAACGGAAGTGGGCATTAGCATGCCGTGGCAATGTTTACAAACAAACCAGGAAAAAAACCGCGAAAACATTGCTCTCTCTCTCTCCCTCTCACTCTCCCCATTGATGTGTATGCGTATGTATGTGTCTGTTTGTTTTCCTTTGCATATTAAAAGGATATGAAGAATGGCAGAATTCAATGTATCCACATGGCCACACAGTAAAACAGAGAGAGAACATCTTTGCAGCACTTTTTCCTTTCTCTGGTATTGCAAAAATTTGTGGGGTATGTTTACAGCCGGAGAGGCAAAGAGCTGGCCTGCTATATAAAGAAGCCGCTTGCAGAAATATCCTTCAGTTAGCAACGAGCATTGGCAGTGAGTAGTTGTAAAATAAATAAAATAAACCGGCAAAACGTGAAAAGTGTCAAGTTAATAAATTGTGAGAGAGAGGAAAAGAGAACGTTAGGAAAGTATAAAAGTGAGAGTAACACAAAAAGAGGCCAAGTGAGAGAAACAAATCCATTGGATGATTTGAAAAACAAAACAAACAAACAAAGCCGGTGCCACGAAATAAAGCAAAACAAAGACATGTGCCCCACAAAAAAGTGAAATATTTGAAACAAAAATTATTGAAAAATCTCAAAACTTTAAAAGTGAATTGAAATTTGTCTCGAACTTTGCAAAATGACAACTGCTCATGTCTATTTTGCCGATATACCCCTCTCGTCGCCCTCCTCATCCTCGGCCCATAGTCTTGCGGCCCCAGAAGGTCATCGTTCCAATTTCGAGGCATCGCCAAACAGTGACGCAACATCCGAGCAACGTCAATGCAGTCGCAATGCCACTGAACGTAGCATTTCGCCCGGCTGCAATACGGCCCTGCAATCAACGCCACGCTATGAGCGTAACATGGGCTTCTTTCGCCAACTGAGTCGTCGTTTCGGTTTGAGGTCAAACGATGACCTAGTTTATTCCGGCAGCAATGAGGAAGACAATCAAAGTTCATCGACCGATTCCTGTTCTTCGCATAGAGAAAATGCCAGCAAGGATGCTCAGCTACACAAACAACAACAACAACACGAACAGCTAGAGCGGCAATATTGTAATGCCAGTAATATAATGACGGCATCAATGATGACCATGTCCATAACCGAACACATCTCATGTGCATCCAGTGAGACCAGCAGCACGGTGGACATTGAAGAACAGCAACAGCAACACAATCTGGGAAACAGTGACACCAAACCCCCAGAAGATAATGATGAAAACCATGTAACAACTGGCAAACAAACCTGTCACAAGGAACGCAAATCCTTTGCCCGTTCCAGTTTTTCCCGGCTCCAACGACGTTCGGCCAGTTCCATACGACGAGCTTTTGAAAATTTCTCTCTATCCTCACGTTCGCTGTCGTGCAGCGGTACAACACCGACACCGCCGCCATTGTCCTTGGCCACACACATAAATACGTCATCGTCATCATCGTCGTCCACACCCATCAAATCGGCACTCAAGTCCACATCCAACCTCGAACTGAACAAACGTTACAACGCTTCATCGGCAAATGCATCATCGTCATCAAATTCATCAGCCTCGGCGGCCGCTACTGGCTCAATGACAACAACAACAACAACAAAGTCGTCGAAAACCAAAACAAAGCCACCTCCTCAAAGGATCCTACGTCAGCCTGTCTCCTATACATATCTGAAGGGCATTTCAGGTTTGCCAACCCAAAGGGTTCCACGTAATTCCGTGTGCTGTCAATATGCCAGACGTTAATTGTATTACAGCAACACATCAAACACACACACATCCTCACACAGATATACTCACACACACACACACACACCAAGGCTATTAATACTAGAGTAGAAGCTCCCAACATACATAAGTTTAAAGTTCATCATGTATAATAATAAAAACAATATTCCAAAAATACACGCAACACCGCTTGAGATACAAACACAAAGAGTAACGAACGAACGAATCGATACGAAACTGTAAACAAGGCCGGCAGAAGCTGGCCTGAAATAGGCTAACGCCATTCTTACGTTTGGCCAGAACAACAGCAGATGTCACATACATCTATGCATTTATTGTCATTCACAGACATACACACACTATAAAACCGTTGCATTTTTATCTACAAATATTTAGCCAATGGAAGATTAGAAAAAAAGGATAATACGGTCCGCAGGATAATGTAGTTTGAAAAAAAAATCACATTAAACATAGTAGAGTGATTTTTCAGTATACCATTTTAAAATTAACGTTTTTTTTTTTTCTTTTGAAAATTAATTAAATTTAACAATTAAATTAAAAAAAAAACAATTTAAGGCTTAATTACAATTTTATATAAGGCAATCGATTTGAACTAACTTAGGATAATAAATTTGAAAATTTTATTAACGTTTTAATTATGAAAATAAGAGAGAACATATTGCTTGGAGAGAAGGATGAGGTATGGCAACATACGATTTTTTTTTTTGGAAAACATTTCCATACGCCATTTATTGACTTTTTGAGAAATGGCGATTTCTGTACCCTCAGCCATGAGCCTAGAGAGCATAAAAAACTGCAACAAAGTCAAACGCCATAATTTTCACATTTTTTATTTATTTATTTATTATTTTTTTAAATTATATTGAATGAAAGTAAAAAATGTCGGAAATAGCATCAAATTTTAGAATAAGTTTAGATTTTTTCGAATTGGCCAACTTCGGCACGAATTATGACCTTCAAACGGCCAATGAAACCGTCAAACGCTGCCGGAATGTTGCTCTGCGATATTTTGGCCCATTCCCGGCCAAGTGCTTGCTTGTGGCGATCGACACTTTGGTATTTTTTAGTGCCAACCTTGCTTTCCAAAATACTCCAGAAACAATAGTCGAACGGATTGGTATCCGGAGATTTTGGTGTATATTGTGCGCTGGAAATGAAGCGAGGAACCTCAATTTGGAACCATTCTTGGGTGGCGCGTGCTAAGTGCGATGGTGCTGAGTCCAGTTGGAATGTCCAAGATCTGTGGCCAAAATATTGGCGTGCGCAAGGCTTTAACACACCCTCCAGAATATTTTCGCGATTATATTCGTCATTTATTCTGATGCCACGGACGATTAATACAGACCATCCGCTATTATGGCGGCCCACACCATCACCATGGACGGCACTTGAGTTCGTTTGGTGGCCAACCGAAGGTGCACATTTTCAATTGACCTCTTTGGCAAGTAAACTCGATCATTTTGTTTGTTCACAAACTGCTGGACAACGAATCAGAGAAAACCAAATTCGGTAGTTCACCACTTTCGGCAAAGCAAAGCAACTCTTTAGCTCTTTTGAGTCTATTTTCTTTCTGTTGCAGTGTAAGTTCTTGCACTTTTTGGAATTTCAATGGCTTTGCCCAGAGCTCATTTTTCAATATTTGCCGAATGGAATATTGCGATATGTTCAGCTCGCGAGCCATTTTCGGCCACTGCGACGCGGGTTTCGATCAAGTCGCTTCTTTACTTTTCGAACCATTTCTACTGATGTTGCTGTTTTCTTCCGTCCAATTCCTTGATGTCGGGCTACGATACTAGTATCACGGTAACGAGCGATGGTACGAGGAACAAAATATTTATTCACATTTAAATGCTGGAGTTCTCTAACGGTAGCCACTTGTGGTTTTCCAGCCAAATAAAAAGACATCACACTATCACGCTTGAACTGCATCACGAATAACTTTTTTTCTGGAAAATTCTCACCTAAATGCTTTTGTACGCTTGTAAACAATATAATGAGCTGTCATTGGAATAATTTTAACAGCGGCCGGAAGAGTTTCTTAGAAATGACAGCAGTCTGAAGCTGATTTTTTCATATCACCCTGTATGTGTGATTTTTATCAAATTTGATGTACTTGCTTCTAGACTGAACTCAGTCGGCTGTGCCAAAATTCAGATCATTTGGACTGATATTGTTCATTTGGTGCTATGTCTAAATTTGAACCGATTCGCACCAATTCAATAGGGTTTGTCAACATATTGTTTCGAAAATTTCATCTCAATCGGATAATAAATACGACCTGCATTTGGTTCACAAAATTAAATGAACAGACGGACGACGGACAGACAGACTGGTATGCATAAATCGACCGAGAAAGTGATTCTATGGAGATCCCCAAAAGAAACTATGTTACAAACAAATGCACAAAGACATAATACCCTTACCAGTATGTGGTATAGGGTAGGAAAAAAAAAACAATAAATAAATAACAAGTAAAACAGCCGTAAGTTCGGCCGGGCCGAACTTTGAATTCAAAAAATTTAAAACCATTAAAATTTATGTTAAAATTAAAATTTCAAAATACCAAATGAAAAAGACGTGGACCTGCATACGCAACTTTTGGCATAAGCATGCACAGACAATTTTCTGGCATAGGCTGTAGTATCCATTACGAACTTGAAATACAAAATATGAAATAATTCCTGTAAATAATGTCGCTAAAATCATCAAAATATCGTATATGGGGGTACCATATATGGGGGCTATACGAAGACGTGGACAATTTTCTGTCACAGGCTGTAATATCCATTACGACCTTCAAATGCGAAATTTGAATCAATTCCGGTAAATAATGTCGCTAAAATCATCAAAATACCGAAAATCGGGAGGTACCGTTATATGGGGGCTATACGAAGACGTGGACCTGCACAGACAATTATCGCTCATAGGCTGTAGTATTCATTACGAACTTCAAATACTAAATTTAAAATAGTTCCTGTAAATTATGCCGCTAAAATCATCAAAATACCAAATATCGGGGGGTACCGTTATATGGGGGCTATACTAAGATGTGGACCTGCACAGACAATTTTATGTCATAGGCTGTAGTATTCATTGCGAACTTCAAATACTAAATTTGAAATAGTTCCGGTAAATGATGTCGCTAAAATCATCAAAATACAGAATATCGGGGGTACCGTTATATGGGGGCTATACGAAGACGTGGACCAACATGGCCCATTTTCAATACCAAATTTCCTGCATACATAATACACATTTGAGCAAATTTTTATCAACTTACTTCATTTCGTTTTTAGAAATAAATTAGAGTGATTTCCATAGACGAACAGACGGATAGATGGACAGACGGACGAACCTCAATTTGGAACCATTCTTGGGTGGCGCGTGCTAAGTGCGATGGTGCTGAGTCCAGTTGGAATGTCCAAGGTCTGCGGCCAAAATTTTTGGGTGCGCAAGGCTTTAATACACCCTCCAGAATATTTTCGCGATAATATTCGGCATTTATTCTAATGCCACGGACGATTAATACACGCGAAGAGCGACCATCGGCTGTTATGGCGGCCAATCGAAGGTGCACATTTCAGCTGACCTCTTTTGCAAGTAAACAGATCATTTTTCTTTTTTTTACGAACTGCTCGACAAAGAATGTTTTCTCATCGGACTCATCTTCGGAACTGCTGGACAACGAATATTTTCTCATCGGAGAAAACCAAATTCGGCAGTTCACCATTTTCGGCCAAGCGAAGCAACTCTTTAGCTCTTTGGAGTCTACTTTCTTTCTGTTGCGTTGTAACTTCTTGTATTTTTAGGAATTTCAATGGCTTTACCCCGAGCTCATTTTTCAATATTTGCCGAACGGAATATTACGATATGTTCAGCTCACGAGCTATTTTTCGGCCATAGCGACGCGGGTTTCGATCAAGTCGCTTCTTTACTTTTCGAACCATTTCTGCTGATGTTGCTGTTTTCTTCCGTCCTCTTCCTTGACGTCGGGCTACGTTACGAGTATCACGGTACGAGACACAAAAGATTTACTCACAATTAAATGCTAGATTGCTCTAACGATAGCCACTTCTGATTTTCCAGCCAAATATAAAGAAATCACAATATCACGCTTGAATAAAAATTTTCCTGGAAAATTCTTACCAGCATGCTTTTGCTCGCTTGTAAACAATATAATGAGCTGTCACTGGAATAATTTTAACAGCTGTTGGACAAGTGGCTTGGGAATGACAGCAGTCTGAATTTGGTTGCAGTTTTTTCATCTCACCCTGTTCATACCCTACACCATATTGATGGAACTTAAAAAAATTAGAAAAAAATCCATAGAAATGTGTCTCCAAAATGGAACCCTTTATAGGGGGGCTATACGAAGGTGTGGTTCTTCATAAGTAACTTTTGCCATAGGCTGTAATACCGATTCCGTACTTGAAATGCAAAATTTGAAACAATTTCGGTGAATAATACCGCTAAAATCATCAAAGTACCGAATATAGGGACGGACGACGTGAGGGAGGGAAGACCTGGACCTGTTATAGGCTGTTCTATCCATTATGAACTTTAAATACAACATAAGAAACAATTCCGGTAAAAAGTGTCGCTAAAATCATCAAAATACCGCATCGTTATATGGGGAATATATGAAAACGTGGACCGACACAGCCCATTTAAAAACTTAATTTGACTACTGGCAAAATACACATATGTGCAACATTTAGCCTTCTATCTGAATTTCTTCTATCTGAATTCATTCCATCGGTTATGGGTTTTCTCCATATTGTCTTATATATGAATTTGGATTACTATGCTTTTAGAGTCAGCTAAAGAAAGCGGTCGCGGGCAAATATTGTAATCAGATATCACATTGACATAAAAACTTCGAACACAGCATAAATGCCTAGCCTGCTAATTTTATCAAAAAAAAACCTTCTTATTAAATTATCTACCCTTAGAAGATAAAAGGTGAAAAAAAATTTGCCCTCAAATAAAATCTATATCCTCATGCAAACTCTCCAAGCAATATTGAAATGTAGTTAATGGTTTCACAAATCAAATTTAATTACAAAAAACAGTTGTTATTACAATTTTCTTCTCTAAAATGCATACCCATCTTTGATTGTAAAAATAACTGTGATATTTCAAAAACTACAAACGCTACATTCGTATCGGTAAATGATTTACTCTAATTGGACCAGAATTACATTGATAAGTATATGTTTCTTTTCGTAGCAAATAATTTTCTTCATTTACATAAAATAAATTCATTGAGAAAATTGCAATAACAAGAATTATACTAATGTTAAATAATAATAATAATAATAATAATAATAATAATAATAATAATGATTATAATAATAAAAATAATAATAATAATAATAATAATAATAATAATAATAATAATAATAATAA